AGGATCTGAACAGACATTTCTAAAAAAGAAAACATACAAATGGCCAACAAGCACATGAAAAATGCTCAACATCACTAATCATCAGGGAAATGCAAAATAAAACCACAATGAGATGTCACCACTCCAGTTAGAATGGTTATTATCAATAAGACAAAAAATAACAAAAGCTGGCAAGGATGCAGAGAAAGAGAACTCTCATATGTTGTTGGTGGTAATGTAAATTAAAATATCTATCATGGAAAACAGTATGGAGGTTCCACCAAAAGTAAAAATAGAACTACCTCATGACTCAGCAATCCCACTACTAGGTACATATCCAAAGGAAATGAAATCAGTATATCGAGGAGACACCTGCACTCCCATGCTCATTGCAGCACTATTCAGAATAGCCAAGAGATGGAATCAACCTACTTGTCCATCAGTGGAGAGTGGATAAAACAAATGTGGTGTATACACACACACACACACACACACAATGGAATACTATTCAGCTATAACAAAGAAGAAATCCTGTCATTTGCAGCAACATGGATGGAACTGGAGATCATTGTGTTAAGCGAAGTGAGCCAAGCACAGAAAGACAAATACTACATGAACTCAGTCATATGTGAATGTAAAAACAGAAATAGTGGTTCTCATAGAAGCAGAATAGAATAATGGTTACCAGAGGCCGGGAAGGGAAGGCAGGGGTGGGAGGGAGGGGAAGAGGTGGATTAATGGGTACAAAATGGCAGGTAGACAGGAAGAATAAATTCTGGTGTACGAGGCTGACTGTAGCTAATAATGTTATATTTTATATTTCTAAATAGCTAGAAAAGAGGATCTTCAACGTAATCACCACAAAGAATAGATAAATGTTTAGGTGACAAATATGCTATTTACCCTAAGTGAATCATTGTACAATATATGCATGTATTAAAACAACACACTGTACCCCACAAATATGTACAATTCAAAGTAAATTAAAAAAAAAATAAATCAAGGTCAAGGGTTCAGATCTCTATACTGGCCAGCTGCCAAAAAATAATAAATAAATAAAACAAAACAAGAACATAAACTCTTAAAAAGAAAAAAGAGTCTAGGTGACAACCTACTACTTGTGACTGGGATCTGAAGCGAGGGCAGTCTTGTGGGACGGAGCTCTCATGCCGTGGCATCTGAATTATAAGATACCAAACTGGCGTTGACTGGAGAACTGATTGATTGCTGGGGTGGGGTGAGGTATTGAGGGGTAGAAATCCCCACACATCTTGGTGACCAGAGGTGGAGTATTTTGGTTGGCAGTGAGAGTAAGACACTTTATTTTCTTCCTATCTCAAACAGAAGCCAATCTGAAAAGGCTACATCCTGCATGATTCCAACTCTATGACATTCTGGAAAAGGCAAAACTATGGACACAGTAAAAAGATCAGCGGTTGCCAGGAGTTCAGGGGTAGGGGAGGCGTGTGAATAGGCAGAGCACAGAGACTTTTCAGGGCAGTGAAACTACTCTGTATGATACCATGATTGCTGACACATGGCATCACATATTCACACAAACCACAGGAGGCACAACGACAAGAGTGAGCCCTAATGTAAATCGGGGGCTTGGGATGATGGCGACGTGCCAGTGCAGGGCCATCAGGTGTAACGAATGCACTGCTCTGGTGGGGGTGTTAGTAATGGGGAAGGCTGTGAGTGTCTGGGGACAGTTATATGAAGTCTCTCAGTTTTAATGTGAACCGGAATCTGCTAAAATAAATAAATAAATAAGGACTTTAAAAAAAAGGTGATAGAAAGGGAGAAATGGACAAATTCACAAGCAGAGGAGGAGGGGTTTGCTTGTTTTTAAACAAACTATATGAAAAAGCTAAGCTAGCAAAATGAATTAGCAAAAATATGCAAAATATTAAAAGCATGGTTAACAAGAATAACTAACTGGATAGCATGTAGAATTTTGTACTAAATGATTAGCAAATACCAAATCTTTTCAAGCACGAGAGAACATTCTGAAACCTGAGCACACAGTGGGCCACAACACAAGTCTCCTGCTTGTGGGTCCAGCATGGGACATCCCATACACTCCCCCCACTGGGCAATCAGGCTGTCAGTGACTAACAGTAAGTTAATCTGAAAAACATCATCTACTTGAAAACTGGAAACATACTTCTGGATAATTCCTGGGCTAAAAAAAGCAAAACGGAAATTAAAAGTTTTTCAGAAGTGAATAATGTCAAAATTTGTGGAAGTAACAAAAATGACACTTGGAGGAAAATATATAGTCTTAAATTCTTGAGCCAAAAAATGAACTAAATTACTAAGAAGTGAGACAAAAAAGAGCACAAAAAACCCAAAGAATAAAGAAGAATAAAGCACGGGGAGAAAAGGGGGCAAGTCTGTGATGACAATTTGGGGAAAGGCATATTCAATCCACGGCAATGACCATGGCACGCTAGTCTGGCTGACAGAAAGAAGAGAACGTGACAACACACGTGCGGGCGTGTGTGCCAGTGTGTGCGCACATAGAAGCGCAGCAGCGTGGCAGTGGAGGGAGAGACTTGCAGAGACATTTCGGAACCGGTCACCAAGCAGAGAAGAGTGAGCACCACAGGCCTCAGGCTGCCACCCGAGGAAGGCCTGCCTGCAGGAGCTCAATCGTGCATGTGTGCTGATGCGCAAACATCGTGCTTCATGGAGACAGAACCCAGATTTGCTTCTGGGAATTAGGAAGTGTGGAGTGTGCCAGGGAGAGGGTGCCCACGTGATAGCACCCAATACAACCCCTGGGTGCCAAGTGTGAGCATCCCTGGGGAGAAACATTTCCCCGTGCGGCTGCGTTTTTCCTGGTGGGGGGAGAACATAATCTGTGTCATCTACACGGGGAGCTTCGGCAGCCTGCACACGGGTTCCTACAGACTCTGCCTGTGCCTCTGTCCCATGCTATGTCTCCGTGATAAACTTCAAATGAGAGGACAACTCTATGTTGAGTTCCCTGGGTCCTTGTAGAGAATCCCAGAACATGTGGGTGGTGTCGGGGACCCTGACACAGTCCCCTATATATATATCCTTTACAATCCAGCAACGCCACTCCCAGGTATACGGCTTAAAGAAATTCTAGCAAATGGGCACACAGAGGCAACGCAAAACAACTCCTGGCTCATGAAAAGATGGTCACATGCTAGTCATTGGGGAAGGAGACACCACCACACACCTGCCAGGACGCTACTATCAAAAAGGAGAGCAGAAAGTGCAGGCAAGGACGTGAAGAACACAAGGGGCTCCTGCACTGCTGGCGAGAAAGACAAGCGCACGGCCCCTGTGGAAATGGTGTGGTGGATCCTCAGAACAGTAAAAATAAAATTATCACACGACTCGCAATTCCACTTCTGGGAATGTCCCTGAAAGAACTGAAAGCAGGGGCTCAACAGATATTTGCACACCCTTGATCACAGCAGCACTATTCACAGTAGCCAAAGGAGGACACCACCCAAGTGTCCACAAACAGATGAGTGGGTGAACAAAATGTGGTCCATCCACACAACGGAATGTCACTCAGTCTTCAAAAGGAAGAAACTTCTGACACACGCTACAACATGGATGAACCTTGAAGACGTTATGCAAAGTGACATAAGCTAGACTAAAAGAGAAATACTGTACAGTTCCACTCATGAGGTCAAAGTGCTGTCAAATACATAGAGACAGGAAATAGGATAGTGGGTGCCAGGTGCTGGGGGGGGGGAGCGGGGAGAATGGGAAGTTACGGTTTATGGGGGACAGAGTTTCAGCTTGGGAAGATGAAAATGTTCGGGAGCTGGAAGGTGGTGATGGATTCATAACAGTGCAAATGTATTTAATGCTACTGAACTGTGCACTTACAAATGGTTAAGATGGTAAATTTTACGTTATGTGCATTTTACCACAATTTTTAACAAAAGGTATTAGTGGAACAATGGAGAAAAACTGTTAAGGCAGCATCGATCATCACAAGGAAACCTAACTGCAGGTCCCAGAAGAAGAGACAAACAGCTTGGTCCCAAGGCATGCACCGAAGGAACGAGTGACAGCTACGCGTGTGGGTCCACCCCAGAAACGCAACCCAGAGTGCAAGCACATGTCCCTGAAGACTATTAACACATGACTCACTTTATAAAGCTCAGGAACAAGCACAATCAAGCAATCTGCTGTGTGGGGACATACACAGACAAATCCAAAGAGAAAAACGCAAGCGAAGGGCACACGTGGAATTCAGGCCACTGGTCACTGAGGTGGGGGTCAGGGCAGCTGTGAGGGTTGACAGTGCTCCCGTCTTTGCCTGAGGGGTACCTTGTGGGCGCACTTCCCTGTGCTGCCTCCTGACTCCCAGCTCCCCTCCATCTTTCGCTTCTTGTTTCCACTGGGTTTTTAAAAGGATGACCAGCAGGGGGCGCTGGTACAAAGGAGAAGGGCCATCTTGACTGTGTACAGGGTGACGGCCAAGGGGAAGGCCCAGGAGAGGGCAGGATACCCAGGGCCCTCACTGTTATCTGAAGCAGGTTTTTTCAGAGGCGGAAGAGCTGGCCAACGCATAGGCCCCAATCCAGCAGGTACCCAGCCTTTGGTGTTATTCCCTGGCTCCTCTTTCTACAGTTGCTGCCATTAAGAGATGCTGGGGAGAGTCCACTCTAATTTTGGAACAATTCTGATAGCAGGGTGATCCCCCTGCATTTCAAGAGCACCTCTTGCTTGTCTGATGGAAGTGGTGGGAAGGGACATTGGGGGAGGGGCAGAACATGGAGTTAGGAGGAGGATTTGAGTAGGACCCAAGTTCATTCCAATGGCACCAAGCTCTGCACCCAGGAAATGGAGCAGGGGGGAGTGGGATGGGAGGGGGCACTGACTCAGCCACCACAGAAAGGGGCCACCAGTCACAGCAGGGCCACTGGAGGCACAGGCCCAGGGCGTTTACACTAAGATGCAGGTTGACCTGTGCACAAGGTGTTATTTTATGCAACAGAGCTAGCTGGATGCAGTCCAAATCTCACCTCCACACAGCTGTTGATTTCCTCTGCAGCGAGTCTGGACTGCACGGCTTTCTCCAGCGGCTCTGCAGCAAGCTTCACTGCATGCTGAATCCGTTCAAGCATCTGCTTCTTATAAGGATCCATGGTCTCACCTAACTTTGCTGAAAATGGCTACAACCATAAGGAAACGTCAAACCTACTAGCCACTGCTCAGCAAACCCCCGAGTTCACAAAAGTGATGCCAGGCAGAAAAAAGACCAGTTTCTCCTACTGCCCCGTGTCGCCCTAGCTTTTCCCTAAGCAGCGGGGCGACAGCTAAGAGGCTCTGAAGCCCCCACAGCCCATGCAGTCCTGGCGCTGTTCTCTCCTCACGTATGACGGGGCAGAGCACTTAACCTCACTGTGCCTCAGTTTCTCCAACGCAAAATGGATGTAAGAATACTTCTAGGCTGGGGATTAAACAAGGTGGTTCATCCAGAGAGCTCTGAGATGTGCCAGCAGCCGCCTCCACCACAAGGGCGCCACAGCCCGGCAAGCCCAGGCTTGTCGGCCGAAAACATTACTAGGCTCTAATTTTATCCCTATTTTTCTCCCAGAGATACAATGCTATAAAACATACCAGTATTATTACTATAACTACAAAGGATAATTAGTCATTATTAAAGAGAATAAAACAACTTATGCTAGTCATACCACGTAATACTCATAACTATACATTTATAATAATGCTTATTTAGTATTAAAATAATAAATTAGAGAAAACAAATTTCTTCAAATAATTTGGAAATTTTAACAGTACAGTCGGCCCTCTGTATCTGTGGATTCCACATCTCAGATTTGATTCAACCAACTGTGGACTGCAAGTGTAGTGAGGCCTACAGTGGTTGTGTCTTACTGAACACACAGATTTGTTTTTCTTGTCATTATTTCCTAAACAATATCCTGTAACTGTGCACACAGCATTTATATTGTATTAGGTATTATAAGTAATCTAGAGATAATTTAAAGTGTATGGGAGGACGGACATAGGTTCTATGCAAATACACCATGTTATATCAGGGACTTGAGAATCTGTGGATTTTGATATTCAAGGGCAGGGTCCTGGAACCAATCCCCCACAGATACAGAGGGACAACTGTATTATGACTTTAATAGAGAATTAAAGAAGCCTAGCATAGCTTCTTCACTTCAGTCAGAAGTGAGTATAAGTATTTGATTTGGTTGTGGCCTCAACGTTAAAGATAAGAAACAAATATTAGTAGGCATTTTTACAAGTAAGTGTAGAGTATGGCATTGTGATGAAAATGTGTTTTCCCATAAGTGATGGGAGCATCATCTACTCTACACCCCGTCCCTGTGTCTTCCATGGTGACTTTCTCACAGTCCAGGGCACCACACCCACTAAGACTTTGGTGCTCTGATAAAACTGGCTTGAGTACTGCAGGCTTTGTGAAAGAGTGCCGAGACAGACACTACCCTAAGGCCAGTAACCTACACAGGGCCTGAGAGCTGCAAGCAGGAAGCACAGGGCGTGCACAGCATCCAGAGCAGACAGGAGCCCACCTTCAGGGCAGCGTGCACATCCTCCAGGAGCTGTGCAGCCTGGGGCTTCCCCTCCAGATACTGCTCAAACAAGTAGTTCTGCCGGGCCCTCTTGATGATCTGGAAAAGGAAAAGGGATGGGGGGTTATGATCAGAGCCCACTTCCGTCATGTGCAGCAGGCTGGCTCTCATGCTTGGCAAACTCCAACTGAACAGCAAGGGTGGCACAGGACATCCACAGGTCCCAGACGTGTGCACGTTGTGGAATGAACACCAGCTTCCATCTCCCACCTGTCGAGCAGTACCTAAGGTCTAACGTGCTCTTTCTGATGCCTAAGGAAACAAGCCCCACTGCTCCAGCTTCCCCTGCAAAGCTATACAGAACCATGTGCTCCAGCAGGTCTTCCTTCTGTAAAGCTCCAGGGGCTGTGGATACTTAATCAACCTGGTTCCAAAACATGCAGGTTTCTAACAGCATCTAAACATTTGTACAAATGATCACATCATTTGCATAAATTGTAAAATTAATTCATTGAGGGGATTTAAAAAATGTTTATTAGGTTAAGACCTGAGCCAGCTGAAGCCTACATTAATTTACTTATTTTTCTGAAAGTCCTACGGTCTTTCATTTCAATTGTATTTAAAATTTAATTTTGAAAACTCCCTTTACCTTATCATCAATATCTGTAATGTTCATGCAATAAAAGACGTCAAATTTGAAGTAATCCTTCAATACTCTTCTCAAGATATCAAAAGAGATGTAGGACCTAAAGCAATGAAAAAACAAACATTTCCAATCTACACTATGTACAAAATCTTGCCATTGTAATTAAAATACAAGTAAAAGGATTCTGTGGCATCTATCCCAGCAGCCAGCTATTCTCCACAAGCTACACCCGTGGCCATGCAGCTAGTGGGGGGTCACAGCCGATGGGGCCTCAGGTCTGAGTGTCCCAGAAACTCAACACCTGGGGACCCCTACCAGAGCTTGAGGAACGAGAAAAAACTTCAAGGTATGGGAGGAAAAGTGTCCAGGTGGAGTCCAGGAATATTTACAACAGGGCTATGTGGCACTTTCCTTTTCATTTGTTTTTAACCTTTCTGCAGTGAATATGGACAACTTATTAAATTAAAATTTTTCGTCTTAAAAACAAGAGAAGAAAAGTTCAGTGTTAATTTTCCTTTCAAATCTCAGGTCCATGCAGCAGATCAAAGAGCTCTTTATGGAGCTAAGATCCTCTGCAGGGGCCCCAGTGCCCAGGCCCCCATATGCTCGCCTGCAGAAGCCATGCAGACATGGCAGGGGACCCTACCTGGCATGTCCCATGTGGGAGGCATCATAGACGGTTGGCCCACAGCAGTACCACGTCACCTTTTTCCCATCACCTGCAGAAGCCATGCAGACATGGCAGGGGACCCTACCTGGCATGCCCCATGTGGGAGGCATCATAGACGGTTGGCCCACAGCAGTACCACGTCACCTTTTTCCCATCTTGAGGTATAAACACGTCCTGTTAGAAAAGACAATCACAAAAAATGCACAGGATCACAAAAAGTAACAACAAGTGTCACACTGTGGTTTGTTTTGTATAAACAAATTCAAGAAGGACCATTTTGTGTTATTGGAAGAAAGCCACAAAGGTCTTGGTGGGAGGCCAGCAAGACAGAGAGAGCCTCTTCCTCCCTAAGATTCTACTCCTCTGCAGGGGTGGTGGTGAAGGAAATAAATGCTGTTATTTTTTGTTGAAATGTTGCTTATTTAACAATAATCACAGTGAAGTTTTATTGAGCACCTATTATGTGCCAGGCCCTGAGCTAAGCACCCAAACTGAATCATGTCTGTTCCACACAACAACTTCCAGAGGTGGGTATTGTTATTTTCTTTTCACAGAAAAAGACACCGAGGCTGAGAGCAGTTGGCCAGAGTCTGTCCCTCCTGGAGGACCCTGGCTTAGAAGCCAACACCCTTGAATCGAAGCCTTGCTCACAGCTGCTCCGGCACACCACTCCCCCATGTCCCACCACTCTCAGACTCTTCAAGGCATCATCAATCTCCATCAGTTTCATGAGGGAGACGTGAGCTGCCCAACACCTGTCCCCCATCTGCCAAGTGAGCTTGTGGATAAAAAATCCATCAGGCTCATGGCTGGAGACCTTTCTGAAATCTCTGGTGCCACTTGCCGTGCCCTCAGCAGAACAAACCAAGCAAGTGCCATTCAGTTAGGAACCAACCCTGTCTTCTTCTGGAAGCCTGCACAGAGCTGCTCGCTGCAACCATGAGTCCTCTTGCAAGTGGCAGCACTTGGCTTGGCTTGGAATGACCCTGGGCTTTTACACTTGGGTGAGCCCGAGACTACTCAGGGCAGTCCCTGCCCAGGGGCCACTGGGCAGGCTTTCATCCAGGAGTGACACTCCATGTGTCTGAGGTTTAGAGGATGGCTCTGCCCCCAGGCTAGAGATTATAACATGGTAAGTAACTGAAGGATCTTAAACCTGGATTTCCGGAACTCCAGAGCCCAACACAATGAACAGACGACTGTCTGTTTTGTGAAAGTGCCTCTGCACACACACAGGCGTCTGTTTAGTTCCTCCTTACCTTGTTCCGCGTGAGGCTGTTGTAAAGGCGGAGCTTACACGGCTTTGTCCCAGAGGGAGGGGACCACTGAGGCTGCACTCGCCGGCCTTTACCTGGGAGGGTGGAAAGAGCAGCTTGGTCACGCGGGCAGCGTGGAAGTGCACATCGCCAGACACATCGAGGCGTTGTTACAACAATGCAACTCTTATTTTCAATCATGTGAAACAGTGCAAAACGGTGAGTGTCTCTGCCAAGCACAGCTGCTTCTCTCTCCAGCTCTGCCAGGGTTCTGTGTGGCGGGTGCCGTAGTGACAACCCAAACACTCAAGCATGACTGAGGAATGCCTACATGATGTGCCAGGGGACATCATACTCTGCAAATACTTGCCTCCTGCTTGCTGTGTGCACAGAATGGTCCACAGCTGTGGGTCAGAGGGGGGCATGGTGCTATCTGACCCGCACACAGCCTGTGCTGTGGTAACCCTGGGGTGCCCTTCCCTCTCAGGATCCTGGCCCAGGTGAGGGTTTTGAGGACTCTGCATGGGATACAGGCCACCTCCACACCTCCAGGTGCAAGAGGCCAGGGGTCAGGCCAGGAACAGCTGCTCCTTATGGCTATGGTGAGGCAGGGTAAGAATGGCCTCTAGCCCAGCCCTCCTCATCCCCATCAGACACTGGGGAGCAGGGGCTGGCTCTTGTTCTGGTCCCTGTAGCCTGTAGATTCTGACCTGGACACTACCAGCTTTGAGCTCCACATCGGTTCTGTACCACCTGCAGAAGCAAACCTGAGGGTCCTCCCAGCCCTTGAGCAGTTCCTCACTGGCTTATGCAGGAACCTCAATCTGGACACTTTCTCCTGGGCAGTCCCCTGCTCTCTTCCCTGCTCCTGCCACCACCTATGTGCACTCCTTAGTATGAGTCCTGGGCCAGGCTTCCTGGCCGTTCCCCTTCCACAAGCCTTTGCGGCTGCCCCTGCTACTCTGACCACATCCATCTGAGGCTGTGGGTCCTTCCCACTAAGATAGACCCAATTCCAGACTCAGCTTCCGGCTTGGCAAAAGGCTGTCCTTAGACAATCTGCATTTCTGAGAACCCTGAGGGGTGCAACTCTGTCCCTGGCGTCAGGAGAAGCCACAAGGAGATCACTCACGTTCCATGACCTCAGTCCTGCAAAGCCAAGCGCCATGGAGGGCACCTGGCAACTTTCTAATCCCCGAGGCTCCTCAGCCCACTCGCCTCCTGGGAGGAATCCAGCTTCCCCCTCAGGCCTTGCCCCCAAAGCACGCTCTGCTGCGCCCACCCGTGTGTCCCCCATGCCACAGTGCCTGGCCCCAGGAAGGGCTTTGCAGGCCTCTGGGGAGCAGCTCGCACCTGCCTTCCCTAGCAGGCCACCTGGCAGCTCACGTGGTGCCCACTCCCTGCCATCTCCCTGCCTCTGCCTTCTGTGCCAAGGGTCTGCCAACAGGAGAGACCTCCACAGGCCCCACTTGAATGTGGCCAGCAGGTCGCTCCACGCTGATTCCCACTGCAAGAGTCTTGCTGGGCACCAGCCATTTCCCAGTTTCCCCACCCTTGCCCAGGCCATATGACACTGGTGACTAACAGGCTGAGGGAAAGAAGGAAGGCAGCTGTGCCTGAGTGTGTGGGGTAGGTGGGGAGGGGGGCGTGGGTGGACAGGGAGGGAGGCAGACACACAGACGGTGCTAAGCAGGAGCTCTTCACTCTGTGTGAGTTCCAGAACAGTCACAGGTGGTCACAGATTCTAATGCATGGAAAACCCCATAATAAACTATCAAGTTCTTACTAAAGTCAAGTACAGTTGCACAGGTTTACTTTGAGTGCATCAAATGCCCTTGAAGGAAAATCTCATTCAGGTGAGGCATTCATGATGGCATTCAACCTGACATTTTATGATTCCATTACTCTCCTTCCTCATTAAGATCTCATAACTCTTGAAACAAAGACAGTGCTGCCATCTCAGACAGGGCGACGTGAATGTCATGCTCACCCTGCCATGCAGGAAGGGCCCAAGCTCCCAGAGCTAAAGACCCACAGAGAAGACTCGTCATGGGGGTGGGAGGGCGGGGGGGTGCAGTGTCCCAGCGTGACCCTGCCCAGGCATGTCATCCCAGTCCCCCTGGGATGGGAGCTCACGTGAGACACAGAGGGGACCCAGGCAAGGAGCTCACAAAGAGATAAACTTCATAAGGAAGCTAAGGACTGTCTGCCCGAGAGGAGAGAGCAAAGTTGAACTCATCCCCAGCAACACGGCCCCAGCCCCAACAGACCCACACCTTCCCCAGTGAAGAGTATGCCTGAAGCTCCTTCCTGGGGAACCAGGAGAGGCAGGTGGGCAGAAGGGGCTGAGCCCAGGTCTGGTGAGGGGCACCCAGCAAGTTCCAGGCCCTGAGACCAGGTGAACCTCTGTGCTGGAGCCACAGAGAGAAGGCTGATGGCGGGGCGGGAGGTGGAAGAAGAAACAGAGAGGCAGGGCTGAGCCCAAGCCCCAGGAAGGGGTCTCACTGTACAGGAATGGGACAGAGTCATGTCCGACTTCCTGTGTCTGAGAGTATCCCTGGGGCTGCTGAGGTCCACAGCCTGGGGAGAGGACATGGAGGACACATGGGATGGGCTGGTGATAAGTGGGTGCACTGAGGGTCCCATGTGGGCACATCTGATGCTGATGGGAGGGCCAACCGGCGAGGATGAGGAGAAGCAGGAGTATGTTTCCCGTTGTTCCAAGAGGGAAGGTGGGCATGTGCGGAGGAGTGGGGGTGGGAGTGTGGGGGAGGGCATTCCCAGCTGGGGACAGGACTTCAGAGACACCTGAGACAGGCTGCTCTGATTCTCACAGCCACGTGGAGGCAAATATAAGGCTGTCATCACAGAGATGTCAGCAAGGACAATGACCCTGAGGGGTCTGGGACCCACCCAAGGCCACCAGATGATGAGGGGCAGTCCTGGGCTCTAGCCCCCACCTTGGCCTTCAGCCCCAGCTCACACAGTGCCCACTCGAGGGCCATCTGACTTAACACACATCATTCCTGGGCACACACGGTCCCTGCCAGCTTCTCAGGCAGCCTCAGAGATAGAGGACTTGGAAACTGGAGGAGGCAGGACAATCCTACAGGAGTCCATCCCTCCAATCTCCTGAGCCCACCTCAGAGTTGCCTTGTTATGCAGCAGCGAGACTGCACCTTGAGTGGCCTTCCTTTCTGCAGGTTAAAAGGTGTTTCCTGGTACAAATGCTCTCCTGCATCTCGTGTTATGCATGGTGGCATGTGTCTGCATTGCTTTTCAACAAGTCCCCATGATGGAGGACCAGACAGGCCAATGAAGAGGCAGGGCCCAGGCCACTCTTCTCAATGGTGCCCAGATTCTCCCTGAGCTTGGCCTGCACTGGCCGAGGCTCAGAGCTGGGACATGGCAGGGGGGACGACCTGACACCACCCAAGCCATTTGGAGAGAAGGCACCTCACACCTCAGATGTCACCTGGGCCACTGCACCAGAAACACAGGCAGGAAAGGCTGTACAGAGGAGGAGAAGGCCTACCTAGCAACAGCTTCCCTTGCTGCAGGGTTATCCAGAAAATCAGAACACACTCTCTGCCCCAGGAGATTCAACACCCTTACCTCCACCCTGGTTGGAATGGTGGACCAGAGAGAAGACTGACCAGCAGTGAAAGCGTGGTGGTATGTCCAAACCTCCTCCCCGAAGGAGTCTGGAAAAGCCCCCAGGAGGCCACCAGCCCAGTAGGGACCTCCACAAGACATCACACAGCCATCCCACGTAGAGGTGGGTGAGTCCATGGCCACAGGAGGAGCCAAGCTGCTCATAGGCATCAGGACAGCTATGAAATGGAGTGGCCTTGGATCTGCCAGAGGAGAGTAGTCAGTCACATGGGACCTGAGCCCCAGAGACTCTTCAGAAGCAACTCCCCTAAAATAACTGCAGCCATGCTCCATAGACACAACTAGCACAAACAGACTCATTTCATCTCAAAGCAGAAAAATAACTTATTCTGATTTTCAAAGAGTTCAATGTCAATATCACTTTAAGATTTAACAATTCTAAATCTTGATGACAAACACACTGCAATCTTATGGAAAGAATAAAAAAAACCAAGTTAAATCAGAGCCAGGAAAGGCATTAGCTGAAAACCACAGGGCTGGAGCCTCTGGCCTGGGCACACTGCAAGGTGTCCCCAGGTGGCCCTCAGTCATGGCGGCTCTGTACCCCGCCACCCCAGCAACTTGGCTATACCAACAGGAAGCTCCTGAAAAAGCAACTCCATGGGGTGTCATTTTATCCTAACCTCCACCCAGTGGGCACTGGATCTGCCCACCAGGCCACTTGCTGGAGACACACTGGGATGAGGCTCCCTCTGGGTTCCCAGGGCCAAGAAGCACCATGTACCCATAAGGGTGATGGAGAAAGCCCCTGACCTTGGACGAACTGCTCTGTTACTCACTTGCTTGGAGCCTGCAGGGCTCATCTTTGTCACAGGGGCTGCCCAGGATCGCTTCTATGTGCCTGAACCACCGAGTCACGTGGAAGAGCCGCAAATCAGCGGGCGGGGCCGAGAGCTGCCTGAACGCATCCACATCCGCCTGGGACAGTGAGTACCCCTGGACATAGCTACGCGTGCTGAGGTGCTCGTTCAGGGCTCGCACCCTGGTGGCCTCGTCACTAATGCTCAGAATGGACCTGTAGTCAGGAGCTGCAACGACAGAGGGCACACGACGTCAGTCCAGCACACAGGGCAGCCTGAGGGTGCTGGGCAGAATTCAGAGACTTGGGAATGCTGGGGGATGGCATGGGACAAAAAGTAAAGGGCGGTTGCCAGCAGGCATGGGGAATGATTGCTAACGGGTATGGGTTTCCTTTTGGGGTGATGAAAAAGTTTTAGAACTAGATAGAGATGGTGGTTGCAAAACACTGAGAATGCACTAAATGCCACCAAATTGTACATTTTACAATGCTTAATTTTGTTACATGAATTTCACCTCAATTTTTAAAAACTTACAACAGTAACAACAAAAAAGAAACATCAAACCAACCGCAAACCCCTTTTCCGCAGCGGTACTCTCTCCCTCCAGGTGCTGGGGAATGGGAGAGAGAACCACAGAACTCTTGCACATGAAGACACCATCCACACCCCTGCACTGAGAGGCACCCAGACCAGAGTATGGCTTCCAGCAGACCAAGGCCACATGCTGAGGATGACCCCAGCCCCCCTAAAGTACCCGCCTGCTAGGAGAAATGCCTGTTCCAGCCCATACCTGACCAGACAACACGCCTAACCCCTTTCCTTACAGCGTTTGCTAGAAAGGGCCCAGTTACAAATGTGTACCTCCTACAACCCAGGGCGTCTCTCTCAGGCTCACTGCCTTGCAAAGTAATTGCCAGGAGAATGGGGCCTCACTGCCCACCAACAGCACAGCTGCCTCCCTGCATTTATGCTGACCAGCCTCTGTCATTTTCCCCCTGAGCCCTACTCGTCCCCTCCTGCCTCCCTCGCTCTCTCTTCGAATTGCAGAAGTTACCTCTGCTAAATCAGAACGGAGCTCAGCTCTTTCCCCTCTGTTTCACCATTCTAACAAATGTCCAGCTACGATTACTTTCGATGTGGGGGTTGGGGATCATCAGGCACTGCCCCCAGACCCAGCCTCCCTCAAGCAGGGAGCAGAGCAGGCAGTGGCACCAGAGCCTTTGGCCAGGGGAAGGAGCCTGGTCCCCAGGCCAATGAGTGTGAGCTGCATCTAAGCCTTGACCCTCCCTGCGACTTTATTTGCTGAGGGAACTGGGGTAAAAGGGCCAGCGCTTTGTTCCCTTCCACACAAACACCCTCGAACCCCTGAGAGTCAGCTCAAGGTGGAAAGGCACATGCCCAGCCACCTCGTGCTGTGCCACGCACAGCTGCCCTTCCTGGCACAGGCCGCCATGCCCCACAAGGTTGTGGGAGTGGATGACCCACGCAGCATCACTCCCACCTTCCCTGTCCTCCCCCTTCCCCTTCCTCCTCCATCTCCATGGGTACTGCCTGGCACAGAACAGGAGTCACCACCAAAACCACACACCTCCTGAAAACAGCCAGCAGAGCACGTGTGTGGGGATAACTGTGTGCACATAAACGCCTTTCTCCACTTGTTCCCATTGTGGGGAAAACCTTCGTATCATGCCAGTAACTAGAACTTGCTGGAACGCGGCGGTGGCGGCTGCAGGGTGCGTGAATGAAGCAGCAAGCTGCTGTGGCAAGTGTCACTCACCATCTTCAGCCTGCTGTGCTCCTCACCCCCCAGATCCTTTGATGGTCACCCGCATGATGCCCCAGGCATGTCCTGAAGCCCAGCCTCTTCTTCTGCAGGCAAGGTGGGCGCACCATGGATGCAACATGGATGCTGCGCTAAACACATGCTTTCCAGAAGGACTCTGGCTGGTGAGATGAGAACTGGCAGTGTCCCCCTGACCCGACCTGCCTCCATGATCTACAGGGAGCCACACAGTCCCATCTGAAACCAACAAGACGGCCACCCCCTCCACGCAGTACATGCACTCATAGCTTCAGCACACCCTTCAGCCAAAATGTGAATCACAAGCCTTTTACAGATTATCCTTAGTAACACCAACAGCCAACCCATCGGACAATCTGTGGCCTCTATCTTCGAACAGATCCAGGACTCAGCCCCTCACCACGGCTGCAGCGTGGACTGTGGGCCCAGCCAACCTCTCCCACTACAAGACAGACACTCACAGCACCATCTCCTCTGAAGCTCCACCTCACCAGCAGCACAGGCCAAGTCCCCACACCGACCACAGGCCGGCCATCCCCAGTTGCTCATCCCACTCCAGTCACTGACCCCCTCACCTCAGAGGCTCCTTTTCTGGGGAAATGGTCCCCCATACACAGCCAGGCTCTTCACTTCCTTCAGAACTTTGCTTGGGATTAGCTTCTCTGTTAGGCCTTGGAGGACTCCCTTTTCCAAATGCTCCCACACCCCCAGACCCCAAACCTTCCTGCCTACTTCCTCTTCACAGCACTTAACCTCTGTCTGACACACCGTCGTGTTTCTTTCCTTCACTGTCTGCCCTGCCTCCCACCATTGTGTCTGCTTTATTCACTGCTATATCTTCAGCATCTAGAACTTAAGCCTGGACCATTCTAGACCCTCAACAGAGTTGCTGAGGGAATTGATGCACAAGCAGCATGATGGTACGGTGAGAGGAATTACCGTCTGTGATGGAGCTGGCATCTCACCATCATTTCGTGGCCTTGTGCGCCCTTTCTCAGGAAGGACACTGGCACAAGGGAACCAGTGCTGGGATCTGGCTGAATCTATCACTGCTTCTAACTCCCAGTGGCTTGCTCACCTGGAGCCCTGCTGCCTACAGACACTAGAGATACAACAACAGTCACTTTTCACTTCAGTTACTCCACCTGTCACCTGAAGCAGAGATACAGAGGCATACCCTGTTCCTGCTGAAGGTGCCAGTGGGGTGCAGGGAACCCCCAGCTCCTCCTGGCTCCCACCAGCTGCAGCTCTCCTTCCTTCCCCGCAGCAGGAGACTCTGAGGACCAAGCCCACAGGCTTGTGGGAGCAGCCCGCTTTGTTACAGGCCCTGGTCTTGTACTGCTGGGGATTCCCTGAAAGCTGAGGAAGCCGGGTGGGTCTGCATCTGCCACTCTCCATGGAGGGGTCACCAATCCTGCCTGGGACCCCCACCTCAGCCATGTGGCCGGAAACTCTGAAAGGACAAGCTCTCTGCCCAGTTGCAAAGGAGATGCAGAGAGGGTAGAAACAGCCCCTGCCATAGCAGTTCTGAGCACGGCTAAGCCAGGTCCAGGAAAACCTAACTCTATTAAGTGAATATCAGACTTCCCAAAACTTCCTCTGCAGAGCAACTTCCTTCCAGGGAACTTCTATTTTTTTTTTTTTTTAAAAGATGATCGGTAAGGGGATCTTAACCCTTGACTTGGTGTTGTCAGCACCACGCTCAGCCAGTGAGCGAACCGGCCATCCCTATGTGGGATCCGAACCCGGGGCCTTGGTGTTATTAGCACCGCACTCTACCGAGTGAGCCACGGGCCGGCCCCAAAGGAACTTCTATTTTACCTGGATATTTTCCTCCAACATCTCAGCAGCCTGTCAGGTGGCTGCCAGTGGCAGTGCTACTTCAGATGAAGAAAATGAAGTTCACTAAAGATACATTACAGAACTTGCCAGAGCTGTGAGCAGAGCTGGAAGGTGAGCAAGGTCCCCTTGGTGGTCAGGCCTGTTTCAGAGCCGCTGCCCCCATGCTGACCCGCTGTGCTCCCTCTCTCTCTCTCCTCTCCCTCCCGCGCACTGCTTTTGTGCAACCACTCACGCCAGGCTCAGGCTCAGGCTCAGGTAGTGCAGGAGTGAAGCCAGACGACATCACCGCTCCCAGAAGCAGCAACCCTGTGCTGGCTTCAAGAGCCTACCTGCCACTTCTGCTCAGATAACAAGCACACAGAAATGCACTTCTCATGCTCCAGATGTACTCTGATGAGCAAAGGAGACCGCCAGGGACTTGCCCAAATGCTGACCGTGGCCATCTTTGATGAAAGGGGTCACAGGTGATTTAATTTCCCTCTTTCTCGTCATTGCTCACATTTTCTACAGTAAGCACGTTAATTTTTATAAAGAGAAAAACATATACAACATTCTAGTGACGACGACAGCTTTAAAGTGCTAAGGAAGTAGTTCGGGGAACATAAGGCGCTGCGGGATAAGCTCTCTGGGAGACTGGCCCAGCTAGCCAAGGCCCCGTGCTGGCACCCACGTGGCCCGCTTCTCCTCATGTGGAAAACACGCTCATAACAATGTTCGCCTCGTAAAGCTGTGGGACATTAAGTGAAATTACACTTGTGAAATGTTTAAAATCGCCTGGCCCACAGCCAGCGCCCAGTTTTCCATCATCATTATTATAATCACTCCTGTATTATCATCATTATCATTATTATTATTATCACCCATGTCAATCCCAGGGAGTTCCCTGGAGGAGTTTATCCAGGGATGACACATATGTTTAAATGTACTGTCTGGAGCAGCCTAGACTATCAGAAGTGAACAAAGCCTGCACTTGGGAAGGATGCCCTCAGGACGAGAAGGTGGAGAGGCCCAGGGAAGCACAGGTGGATGACAGGCTTCTGTGAGACAGAGGCAGTTATTTGGGTAATTGTGGCAGCTGCATTTAAGTGTCTTGAGGAAACAAAAATAGGTCAGCTTTCAAGTGGTCATGGGTTTGAGCCAGACTGCAGTCTGACCACAAGACTAGATGAGATGCCGAGATTAGATGAGAACACTGCCACAGACCCATTCTGCAGCGCTGGCTCTCGCCGTGGTGCCTGCACACCCTGCCGAAACTCTTGCTGTTTCCATGGGAAGGGAACGTCCACTGCCAGGTAAACTTGCAGTTCAGTTCATAAACGCATCAAAGGACAGATACCCTTTGATTGTGAGACTGTCCCAAAGGTGGACAGTGATAATCACAGTCTACGAAGCTGGAGTCTTTACAAAAGGTTTACTGAAATCAAATGTAAGTACCAGGCAATCGCTCAGCACAGGCATCAAACCAAATGCACATCAAATGAACCACATGCCTGACATGTCAGACACAACTGCGGCACCACCACTCCGTCTCTCTGGCTCAGCCTTAAGCCTGCTCTCATCCCCACCCCCCAGCGTCACTCAAAACGTGGCCCATGGTTTGGCAGCACCTGGGGGCTCCTGAGAAACCATACTCTTGTGCCCACCTGACACCTGCCAAATCAGAATCTCTGGGCGTGCACCCAGCGAGTGGAGTTTAAACCAGCTCCCTGGAGCACTCTCGCTCTTTCACCAGGGCTTTGAAACTTCAGTGTGGTGAGAATCCCTTGGAGGAGTGGGTGGTAGGCTTGATGAAAGAGCCTTCTCCTGCAGTCCAAGGGGGTCTCACCTCTCTCCTGACCACCAGCACCTGAAGTCCACCTGTCATATGTTCATGGGGGTGCCGCTCTCTCTCAGCCCCGGGAAGGGCACCACCACCTTTGTCTTTACTGGGAAGGTTATAGGTTATGAAGAGTACCCAATTCCCCTCACAAACTGAGGCAAGTGGGTATAGTCAGATGGCACCACTGCCACTGGAAATGGCTTACTCTCCACTTCATGTGCACCACCTCTTAAGACTATTAAAAGCAAATACCTGGAAACAAGGAAACCTGAGTTCATGTATGAGTGAATATTTGCAGTCTGTGAACACGTACCTTTCATTTGCCTTGTGGAACACAGCAAAGTACACCAGCTTTGCTGCCCTAAGTAGGAACTGAAGCCCTTTTGGTCATTCTGAACAGAACCACCCAGACAGTGCAGGAGAGTGGTTGAGACCCCTGCTGCAGTCGAATTCCCCAGGTGGGAAGCCTGGCTCTGCCTCTGGCTAGCTGTGTGACACTAGACATACTACCTGACTTCTCTGAACCTCAGGATTCTCATAAGTACAGGAAGATAATGGCAGTATCTACCACAAAGGGCTACTCTCAGGATGACAGGAGATAACAGATTTGAAGTATTTAGAGACTCATGCTGAAAAAAAATGCTGACTGGATTATTATTATGAAGACCCTTTGAATTAAACTGTGTGAAAAAATTAAACTACACGTCTGACATAATAAGCAGCCACCAAAGTAGTGTCCTGAGTTTGCAGGGAAAGGCCCCGAGATGAGCTCCATCTACTGCAAGGCCCTCAGAGATGAAGCTCGTCCTTTTGAGACTACTGGGCCCCTGGATGGGCACTGAGCCTGTGCACCTTCAAAACGACAAAAGAGAAGCTGTAAACCCAGTGAGATCACAGAGGAGAATTATACGTTCTGAGTCAACTTAGGAAAGATGATCCGAAAATGGGGCCTCCTTGAAAATTCTGGTAAAACCGTCACTTTTGATGAATCTAACCTAGGGAATAAAAAACACTCAGAAACGGGAAACCAAAAATATCTAGAAGGACTCTGTTGGCAATATGAAGTCTTTAAGATTTCCTCAGAGGTTGGCCTGTGTTCTCATCTTTGAGGGCAAGCCTAGAAATGGGTGTGTGTGTGTGGTTGTTGTTGTGGTGGTGGTGGTGGTGGTGGTGGTGAGAGGCAGCCATAAAGGAAAGGGCAGGTGGCCACACCCGGGGGAAAAGCACTGGCTGGGAGATGTGGCCCAAAGGCTTAAGAAAATCTGTCTGTTGCCCAGATAGCCCAGGGAGTTAATTCCAATCTATACAGCAATCACCAAAAATAAGCCAGGTCTTATAATGCTCTGAAAACCTAAAGTTCTTTTTTTTTTTTTTAAAGATGACCAGTAAGGGGATCTTAACCCTTGACTTGGGGTTGTNCGCTCTGAAAACCTAAAGTTCTTTTTTTTTTTTTTAAAGATGACCAGTAAGGGGATCTTAACCCTTGACTTGGTGTTGTCAGCACCACGCTCAGCCAGTGAGCGAACTGGCCATCCCTATATGGGATCCGAACCCAGGGCCTTGGTGTTATCAGCACCGCACTCTCCCGAGTGAGCCACGGGCCGGCCCCTGAAAACCTAAAGTTCTGAAGCATTAATTTAAAAAAAAAAAAAAAGAAAAAAAAAAAAAAAAAAAGAAAAAAAAAAAAAAAAAAAGAAAAAAAAAAAAAAAAAAAGAAAAAAAAAAAAAAAAAAAGAAAAAAAAAAAAAAAAAAAGAAAAAAAAAAAAAAAAAAAGAAAAAAAAAAAAAAAAAAAGAAAAAAAAAAAAAAAAAAAGAAAAAAAAAAAAAAAAAAAGAAAAAAAAAAAAAAAAAAAGAAAAAAAAAAAAAAAAAAAGAAAAAAAAAAAAAAAAAAAGAAAAAAAAAAAAAAAAAAAGAAAAAAAAAAAAAAAAAAAAAAGAAAGAAAGAAAAAAAAAATCCCAATATGTCATTTATCTTCACAAATGGGCCAAAAACACACTTATTTTTTAAAAACCCAAGAAACAGGCTCTGGTTTTCAACATGGACATGGTGCTTATTATGTGCCAGGCACTGTTCCACATCCTTTACATCTATTAACTCACCTAATGCTCACAACACCCTCCGAGGCAGGAACTGTTACCCCCATTTTGCTGTGTAGAAGGGGCAGAACTGGGACTCCAGCCCTGCCAGGTCGGCCCCAGAGCCAGGGCTGTTAACCACGGTGCTATTTTAGAGTCTGGGTGGACTTCTGAGGGCTGCCTGGCTGTGGGGCAGGTGGAGACAGTGCTGGAATCCAGGCACTCCGGTTCGATGGAATGCAGCGTCTCAGGAGTGCAGCCCTGTGCTATGACAAGTGGCCTTGTCATCTCGGTGCCCCCTACATCACTGGGATACTCAGGTGGTCAGAGCTACCTACCTAGAACCCAGTGAGCCCTCAGGAGCGAGGGGCACCACAAGGAAATCTTGAGACAATCTAAACTGGGGACAGGGGATGGAGGTGTCTTAAAACTCACTTCTAAATTTTGCTAGCTGAGAAAATAAAAACTATACACTGAGAATGTTTCCTTTGGAAAGCCTGCTCCAGCCTGTTAGGAATACGGGCCACAGTCTCTGGTCTTTCCAGCACCAAAAATTTTGCAGGAGGGATTGTGAGAAAAGAGCCACTGCTCTTTGGAGGCCTGACTGCCAAGGCCTTGGTCTACCTGCTGGTGACATGAGTGACCTAGGGAACCTGCAATAAAGTGGGGACAGTAATGCTCTGACGAGGCAGATCCCGATGGTGACTGTTGCCAGAACTGGAGATGAAAGCCTTCCTAAAACCCCAAGCCCTTTAATGTGTGTGTACGCGTACTTCCGGCTTCCTCTGCCCCATTTCTCTAAGTACCAACCTTAGGTGCCCTCCGCTCACCCCCAGGTGCTGCCCATGCTGGGCAGAAAACCAAAACAACCCTCAGGCCTCTGCCTCTCCCCAAAGTCCAGCTGGGACGGAGGTGGGAGGGCCGGGGGGGATGGCGGGGTGCGGCCCAGGCACCGGCTCTGGAGAGGCTATTTCACTCGCAGTCGCTTCCTGGGGGAGGGGCACAAGGGGACCTCGACCGGCCATAACCCCAGGAGGAAACTGAGCCTGGGGAGGGGGTGGCCTCGGCGGGTCCCGAGCCTGTGTCTGGTCCTTGCAGGGGTCCCGGAAGCCTCGCGTGCAGAGGTCCCAGGGACCATCCTTCAGATCCGGGCCGGCAGCTGCCACCCTCGGATCCCGAATCCCGGACCCGCCTCCCCCCAGACCCGGGGCTGCCCCTCAGACCTTGGAGACGCCCCTCGGAGCCCGGCCCGGCCGCTGTCGCCCCTCGGACCAGCCGCCCCCAGGCCCGGGGCTGCCCCTCAGACCTTGGGGACGCCCCTCAGAGCCCGGGTCGGACGCTGCCACCCTCGGACCCCGAATCCTGGACCCGCCTTCCCCCAGACCCGGGGCTGCCCCTCAAACCTTGGGGACGCCCCTCAGAGCCCGGCCCGGCCGCTGTCGCCCCTCGGACCTGGGGCGCGCCCGGCCAGGCGGGTATCCCGCGTCCTTTGGCGTCCCCGCCGGCGCTCTCCTCCCCAAGTTGGGCCCCGGTCCGGTCCTGCCCGGCCGCGCCACTCACCCTGCTCCCCGCAGGAACCTGCCATCTCTGGGAATCCCGGACGCGCGGACGCCGCCACAGACACTTCCCAGAATCTGATGCAACCGCCGCCCCGGAAGTCCCGCCCCGCCTTCCGGGACACGCCCGGTCGCTAGGCAACCGCCGCGGCACGCCGGGAGGAGCGCGGTCAGGGAGCCGGCTGCGGAGGACGGGACTTGTTCGAATGAGGCCGACCCGGAGGAGGGGCTGGGCACGGATGGGACCTGTGCAGCAGATGACCCCAGCAGAAAGCCAGCCACTGTGAGAAATTCGGTGTGGCCGCACGACACGCTGGAGCAGCCAGGGCAAGAGCCGGGTTTGAGGCACAGCCGGGGCCAGCGCTTCTTGAAGCCTCCTGCAAGCAGTCAAAGATGGCAGAAGGGTTCAGACAGGAGCAGCCAAGACCAGATGTGTGCTGTAGACCAGCATCCTGACAGCTGCCGAGGGCAGGGTGGCGGCCTCAGGAAGGGCCAAGTGAAAGCAAGAAGATACGAAGCCCTGTCAATCATCTACAGGAGAGAAAAAGGTGGCCTGGATAGCGAGGTGGACAGACGGATCTGAGAGATCCACAGGAGGTAGTAGACCCCAGGATGACACCCATGTTTCTGGACTGTGGCATTTCCTTTGATGATGAACCCAGGAGTTGAAGACACTTGGTGCTGGGATGGAAATAAGCACGCTGATCTGTGACGATTTCCAAGGACTGGTGCTGGACTTGATGTTTGGGGTGAGTGAGAGGGAGGGGCAGGGTGGGGCTCACATTCTGAGCTGGGAACAGGTGGTCGGTGCTGTTATTCCAGGGGACAGAGAACCCCTGGGAACACCACGTCAGGAGAACAGGCTTTTCAGTTCCAGAACCCTCAGTTCCAGAACCCCATTCCAGAATCCTCCCCTACCCCTGATGACATCAAGCTCCTTGGGGCTCCTGCCTTCCTTGATATCCGCCCAAGATTTGTGCACCCTGCCCCTCCACCCCCGCCCCCGAAATGAGAGGAAACACTAAGAAACAGAATTATTTAATTTTTAAAATTGAAACAAATTCAGTTCCAGAACCCCATTCCAGAGTCCTCCCCTACCCCCGATGACATCAAGCTCCTTGGGGCTCCTGCCTTCCTTGATATCCGCCCAAGATTTGTGCACCCTGCCCCTCCACCCCTGCCCCCGAAATGAGAGGAAACACTAAGAAACAGAATTATTTAATTTTTAAAATTGAAACAAAAGTGATTATACATGTCTGTGGGGTACAGAATTGCATATCAATACCTGTGTGCAATATGTGATATACATATCAAATCAGGATACTTGTTATATTCAATATTATACGTTATCGTTTTTTGTGGCCCTTTACCATTCATCTGATTTTCAGTTTATGTAATTGCTATTTGAATAAATAAATGTGCATATCCTTTAGAAAATAAAAATATTTAAAAAGTTAAAAAAGAAAAATTATTAAAGTACATACAGAATTGCTAAATTGTACAATCTTTTGGTGAAAAAGCATCTTTGCCAGCAATACTTAACATTTAAGTTACTTAAAGAGTACTTAAAGAGATCTCTGTGATTGTCACTATGCCCCACCTTGCTAATCTTGTAAGAGGAGGTGAGTCTAGTCCAAATCCAATCTCATTCTCAGTAGAAGACCTGACGGATGGCCTGAAAGCCCTGATTCTGATCCCAGTGCCTGGCACAGACCAGCATCCATAGCTGCTCAAAGTGACCAGCAAATTGCCTTTGTCGTTGACTTACTCATACATGTTTGCTGCTACAGTCTGTACCACACCCTGTTCTAGACCATGGGGACATCACAGTGAATGTAAGAACCAGTGGCCGGGCAGAAAGCCAACAACAAATCTCCCTAGCCTCAGCTCCTGAGGGCCATGAACCCACCCAGCACAAGCTGACGAGTTTGCAGCACTCTGGAACTCACTTAACACACGCCCGGCTCCACCGTGCAGGCCAATGGCAGCTCACTGGCAGGGAAGTACTCTTGCTTGCACACAGAACTGAACTCCCATTGAAAGCGTCACATAGAATGCACTCTAAGAAAAGGTACAGCCCCCACCTGGGATTCATGAAGTTTCCAATAGGATCGGGGCTGGGGAAGAAGCTCAGATTCGATTCATTCAGGACACCGCTTAATGTCCCAATCCTGGGCCAAAGAAGACTGGACTCTAATTTGGGTTCTCTGCAGGCCTACGTAGGATATTTTCAGCAACTAATTTGTTTATAATATTTTGCAAAGGCATGTCTAATTTCATTTTATGGAGAGCAGCCATGAGCTTAAAAATAGAAGCATCCTTTCCAAGCTTCTCTCTCCACCTGAGGAGCATCTTATAATGCTGCTCCATCACATTTCCTAGGTTTTCGTGTTCACAAATCTCAATTTCATTCTCTTCGAGTCCAATAAACCTCATAAACGCCTTCCAGTTCTTTTCTGGAACACCACGTCCAATTTCATAGTAACTTCTATTGATGACTGCAAAAAATAAAAAGCAAGAAGAGCTTGTTTCCATTTTTTGAAAGACCAGGTAGCATCCACTCTAACTTTGCTGTCAACCCCAGCTGATCCCAAAGTGACCAGGCCTGGGGATCAGGAGTCTGAGGTCGGGTCAGGACCTGCCGTGCCTCTCATGGTGCCTATTGCTCATTCATTACTCGAGGACTGTGCATCACCCAAGCCCAGCACGGCTGGTGGTGTTCCTGGGAGGACTCAAAGCTCCCAGGAGAGTCAGAAGCCTGGTGGGAACGAATAGCCTGTTGAAGTTCATCCTTCCCTTCCTTTCTCCCACTGGGAAGGCCTCCTGGCATCAGGTCAGGCAAGCCAGCACTGGGATTTGAGACCTAGGGTGAGTTTTGCAACCTCTCTGAGCTTTTTGGGTTGTCTTTTTAATTCTGCACAATGGGGACAGCCTGTCAAAGTCCTTAGTGAGGATGAGCTATAAAAAGCACCTGGCCCGTAGCATGTGCTCAATAAATCCTTACTTTTCTGCCACTAAAATACAGCATCAGAGCCAACAGGGGACCTACTAATCTAGGGTTATATGAGTATTCCTGCCATCCACTCACATTTTTTCTTTATTTTTTTTTTTAGCAGCTGGCCGGTCACATTTTTTCTTAAAAACATGATGTGTTTGAAAATAAAGGCGACATCTGATGTTCCTTGACCAAGCCTCAACACTTAAATTTGACACCAGACCATTTTCTGATGTCATCGGTGAATGTGAATTTCAGGTCCCCAAGAGAACTCCTTACAACTGCATGTAGGTAGACATTCCTCTTTCTCAGAAATGAAAACATTAGACACCTTGACACTCACACCAAAGAGTCAACTCTAAACAGTCTCAATAAATGAAGAATTCAAGTTACTTACTGTCACAGGACACATCCTTCAAAAAAAACTTTTGTTTGTATTCCTGTGGAGGAAAGAGAATGAAATTATCCCTGGAGAAAAAATGTGTCCAGCCCCTTAGAGGAATCCTACTGAGAGAGAACCAGACTCTGGTTTCTGGTGAGATCATCAGGGTGGGGGCAGGTCCTCTACTGTGTCCCCACTGCAGGTGGCAGACAGCTTGTACTTCCCCAGGACACTGCTGGGGCCTGGGTCAGACACCTGTGTTGTCAGGCCTGCTCTGCTCCAGTGGGTGGGACACAGCTGGGGGTCTGGGCCCTGCACCTCTGAGTCTTCTCCAGACCTAGGCCCCAGCTCCTTCAGCCCTAGGGGGGTGGGGACTATTAACAGTTGAACTATGAAACCTGGGGTGACTTCTACTCTGGACTTCAACAATACTAAAGGAGAGGACACCTGCCCACAGAGATGCACTGTGAAAAAATATCACTGACTTAAATGTGGTTTCCTGGTTCAGGGAGATCTGAGCATGTGCTGGACAGTGAAGAGCCTCAACCAATGTGACTTGCTATTAGAGATGGCTTCAGGATCCTGCTGTTCCTTTAGCACCACGAAGGGCCTAGAGCCAGACCTGGCGGGTCCAAATCCCAGCTCTGCCTCACGGCAACTACTGGTCCAACCCATTCCTTACCCACTCTGTGCCACGGCCGCCTCATCTGGGACACAGGGATAGTAACGGTTCCACATTCCTGGGACAGCCCACCTAGCACAGTGCCCAGACGCTGTCCGTGCCTCTCGATGACACAGGTTGGGGGTCCTAACTTCTCCCTTTTATTTGTTTCCACCCTTGGGAGAATGTGACAAGTCACAGACCTTCTCCCTGAAATGATGAGAGGGCACAGGAGCCCTGGTGAGAAGTTTCCAGAGTTCTCGATCTTGATGCCATGCTGGGGTGTTCCGAGATGCATGACATTTAGCTTAGGGCCCAGGTGCTCCGCCCTGGTACCTTTCCTCTCACCTCTTGACCTCTATGCCCTGCCTTTAGGATCCAGAAATGCCTGAGTCGTTGCACACAATACCCCTCCTCCCCAGGGCCACTTAACGGGCATCTTTTTATCTTGCCAAACCCTACTCAGATGTCGCTGAGTGGGAGCCCCCACATCCCATGACGGAGCAGGGACACAGCTATTGTCCTCTGCATGCTGGACGTGGCACCCACTCTCATCCTGCTGACCCTCCAGTGACGTGTGTGTGCAGCCTGCTCCCTCCCATGCCCCATCCCCTGCACACTGCCTGTCTTCTCCAGGTGCCCTGCCTGGCACACAGGTGGTGCTCAGCCAAGGTCCACCTGGCCAAACTAGAGATGAGCAGTACTCGGCGGCTGAGTTACGTCTAAGAGTGCCATGCTGTCCAGCACCCACAGGCCTCCTTGGTCCTGTTGTGTCCCTGGTGTACTATCTGGGTGAGGACACACTCTGACCTTTGGCGTCCCCTGGGTGTCACCATCCTCTGAGACAGCAGGGTGGGCAGGGCATTGTTATGGGTTGAATTGTGTCCTACCCAAAAGATGTTGAAATCTAACCACCAGTACCTGTGAATGCGACCTTATTTTGAAGTAGGGTCTTTGCAGAGTAGATAAAGTTAAAAGATGAGGTCACTAAGGGTGGGCCTTAATCCAATATCACTAGCGTCCTTATAAAAAGGGGAAATTTGATCACAGACACACACAGAAGACCACCATGTGAAGATCAAGGCAGAGATCGGGGTGATGCTTCTGTAAGTCAAGAAGCAACAAAGGTGGCCAGCAAACCCCCAACAGGTGAGGGACAGGCACGCAGCAGACCTCCATGCCAGCCTCAGAAGGAGGCCACCCTGCCGACACCGTTATTTCAGACTTCTGCCTCCCAAACTGTGAGACAATAGACTCCTGTTGTTTAAGCCACCAAGTGTGTGGAACGTGTCATGGCAGCTCTAGCAGACCAATCCAAGGATTTTACAGGAGCATGCACGTCAAGCACTGAACACAGAACCCTACATCCAGTAAGCGTTCAATGCACACTTTGTCATCAGTGAGGCCCATCCTGAAGTTTCATTTACCTGCTCCACATCACTCAGGGGCACCGACATCTCTGTCCGGCCCTGGGGCCTGTGGACAGCAGGAGGATGGGCGGGCGGTGCCTGCTCTGGGGCCGGTGGGCTGCCTTCGACCACTGGCGCGTGCAGAACAGGGCTGTCCTCCGGCTCCTCTGAGGGCCCAGGGCTGGACCCGGCCTCAGGTCCCACAGCTGAGCTCTCCTCCTGCCGCAGCGGTGTTGTTTCCATGTCAGGGGCTAGAATGCCCCTCTCCACATCTGTGAGTGGCTGTGTTTCCCTGGGCTCGCTGCTTCTGGGAGACTAAAGGACGAGGTCATTTCTTTTGTTAACAGGAGCCTGCAGCACACACCCCACTCACACTACTTTTGGAGAAGGAAATGCCATGCGTCTGATAGGCAAGCCAGGGCTGTGCACTTTTAGAAACATATACCGCATTGGGTAAGATCCCAGCTCTGCTACCAACTCCTCAGGGGACCCCAAGATAAGCCTGTTGTGGGTTGAGCTGTGGCCCCCCAAAACATGTCCATGTTCGGACACCCAGCACCTGCAATTGTGACTTTGTTTGGAAAAAGGGACTTGGCTGATGCAATCAAGTTAAGATGAGGTCACCATGGATCCAGGTGGGATCTAAATCCAATGACTGGCATCTTAATAAGAAGAGAGATTCAGGGCTGACCAGTTAGCTTAGTTGGTTAGAGTGCGATGTTATAACACCGAGGTCAAAGGTTTGGATCCCTATGCTGGCCAGATGCCAGGAAAAAGAGAAAGAGAGAGAGAGATTCAGAGTCACAGAGACAGGGGAGGCAGCCAGGAGAAGACGGGCAGAGTTTGGAGGGACTCATCTACAAGCCCAGAACTGCTGCAGCCACCAAAAGCCAGGAGACAGGCAGGGAAGGACCTTCCCCCAGAGCCTCTGAAGGACCCCACCCTGCTGACGCCTTGATTTCAGACCTCTGGCCTACAGAACTGTGACAGATTCATTCCTATTGTTTTAACCCCCTCAGTTTGTGGTCATCAGTTATGGTAGCTGCAGGAAACTCAGATAAAGAAAGCTCTTTGCCCCCCTGTGCCTCAGTTTCCCCTCTGTGGTCTCAGACACCAGAATTTCAGTCTTCTTCCAACACAGACAAATGGGCTCTATGAAGGCAGATGCGAACACCACCACAGGAGCTAAAACTGAGCGTGCAGGCAGAAGGGTCCGGGGCTGCCCCTCGTCCACACCTGGAAGCCGATGGGACCTTGCTCCAGGCCTAAATGCTCAGCACTGAGGGGTACCCTGAGCCACCACCAGGCATTTCCAGGAAGGATGTGCCCAAATCCCAGCAAGATACTTACAGGGCCACCTGGCTCATTCGACTCTTCTGAAAATCAAAACAGAAGAAACGTGCAATGAGTTGACATTACGTGGGACAATGACTTCCAAGGAAAAGGAAAGGCCTGGTACCCAACAGTGAAAGCGTACTTACTTTTGAAGAACTTGGCAACATGACGCAGAACATCTGGGAGAACAGAAGAGGGTACGCTTAGTCCCGGAGCCCACCCGGAGTCCCCACCTTCCCCAGAACCCCAGAAGCAGCACCAGCCTCGCCCTGCTCCCAGCCGTGAGCTTCCTGGACGGCCAAGGCCATCGCAGCCAGCCGACCTGAGGTTCTGGTGTCACACCTTCTCAGGGGATGGCCCCCTGCCCGTCTGTGAGCTCCAGGCTCAGACACAAGCTGCCCCTTGGGTTAGACAGCGAGACCCTCAAAGAAATACGTCCCCATTTCTGAGCTACTGATGAGGCTGTTGATCTCTTTTTCTCACTGATTAATCTAGCTCTAACTTACCGTTTCTTTTACAGCACAAATAGATTGCTCCAACTCCGATGATGAAGACGATGACGATGACAACCACAAGCACATAAATCCAGTTTGAGTTTCCTGGAAGGAGGGAGCACAGAGAATGTTGCGCAGAGCTAAGCACGGCTTTCTTACCAGACTGCCACACTATGGACACTCCCACTCCTGGTCACTGTCCAGGCCCCAAAGCCCAGAGGGTGTGAGGTCTTGCTCAGGTCCTTGGAAGAGGAAGGAGGTCTGTCCCACCAGAATGGCAGCTGTCTGTCCCAGGAGTGAGATCCTAGGTGAGTGGGCCTACCTGCAGGATCTACCCCTGGACCAGCAGGAGGCAAAGCTAGGGGTCGGCCGGTGGGATAGGACATGCCGGTCGTGATTGAAGCACAGCCTGGCCACCGTGGCATAAGGGACAGGGTAGGGCCTGGCCACTGTGGAGCTATCTGGCAAGACCACTCAGGTGTCCTGGTTTCACCCCTTGTGAAATCACAGCCCAGACACAGCCAAGGATGCACAGACGCACAGGGGAGGAGGAACAGGCCATCTATAGCCGTGGACCCTGGCCACCTCCAGGCCATCCCTGTGAGTGACAGAAGGTCAACAGACGAAGCTTTCACACAACACCATCATCCAACTTAAAGGCTTTTGTTTATTCTCACATTAGATCCATCCACATTTTTTATTTTGGTGTTAAAATATCCTTTAAAAGTGTTTGTTTGGGCTGGCTGGTTAGGTCAGTTGATTAGAGGGTGGTGTTAAAACACAAAGGTCCATCCCCATAAGGGCCAGCCGCAAAAATAAATACTAAAAATTTAAAAATAAAAATAAAAATAAGTGTTTGCTTCTTATTCTAAATCAAAATCTCTTTTGTGGAAATGGACAAGCTGATTCGGAAATGTAACCACATAAAACCATGCTGGTTTGAATGTATCCCCCAAATTTCATGTGTTGGAAATGCCAGGTTCATTGTAGACTAAAATAAGAAAAGTCGAATGGATAAAGTTTCTGGCAGATCATGTGGGAGAGTATCTTCTCGGGGTGAGCGCAGATTTCTTACACGGGACACAAAAAGCAGCAACCACAGGCCGGCCCGTGGCTCACTCAGTAGAGTGCGGTGCTGATAACACCAAGGCCATGGGTTCGGATCCTATATAGGGATGGCCGGTTTGCTCACTGGCTGAGCGTGGTGCTGACAACACCAGGCCAGGGGTTGAGATCCCCTTACCGGTCATCTTTTTTAAAAAAAAGAAAAAGAAAACATCACATAACACTTCGAAAAAGTGATATAATTCTTTGGTAATTATAAAGCAATCTTTTTTTTTTTTTTTTTTTTGTCTTTTTTTTTCCGTGTCCGGCAACAGATCACAACCCTCAGTGTCGCCCCCATACCGGACCGGGACCGGCAACGGGATCGCAGCCCTCGGTGTTGCTCCCG